ATCTTTTGTGTTCTAGTTGTATATACCCCCCAAGTATTTAATTTTATCATTAGCTATTGTGATGGGTACTGTTTCTTCGCTCCAGTTCTGTATTTTCTTTGTAACTGTAGAGAAATCCAATTGATTTTTGTATGTTTATCTTGTATCCTGCCACTTTGCTCAATTAATTGATGATGTCCAGTAATATTTTGCTGAATCTTCTGGGCTTTCTAAGTATACAGTCATATCATATGCATATTGTGATAATTTTATGTCCTCTTTGCCAATTTAGTTACCTCTTGTTTCCTTTTTTTGCTTTATTGCTGTCGCTAAGACTTAAAATACAATATTGAATAGGAGAGGTGATAGTGGGCATCCTTGCCTAGTTCCTGTTCTCAAAGGGAATGCCTTTAATCTCTCTCTATTGAGATCAATGTTGGCTCTCAGATTTGAGTATATACTTTTTACTATGTTGAGAAAATTTCCTTCTATTCCTATTTTGTTGAGTGTTTTAATCAGGAAGGGGCGTTGGATTTTGTCAAAGGCCTTTTCTGCATTAATTGATAGGATCATGTGGTTCTTGTTCTTTGTTTTGTTAATGTGATCAATTACACTGATTGTTTTTCTTATGTTGAACCATCTTTGCATACCTGTTATGAATCCAACTTGGTCATGAAGAATTATTTTTTGATATATCATTGGATTCTTTTGTTTAGGATTTTATTCAGGATTTTTTCTTCTATATTCATGAGAAATATTAGCCTATAATTTTCCATTTTGATTATGTCTTTACTTGGTTTTGGTATCAAGGATCTATTTGCTTCATAGAATGAGTCTGGGAGAATTCCATCTTTTTCTATTTTCTGAAATAATTTTTATAGAATTGGTGACAGTTCTTCTCTGAATGTTTAATAAAATTCACTTGTAAAACCATCTGGTTCAGGGCTTTTTTTGGCTGGAAGTTGTTTTATTACCTTTTTAATTTCTTCTTTTGTAATGGATCTGTTCAGGTGTTCAATTTCAGCCTGTGTCAGTTTAGTTAGCTTGTGATTTTCTACTTATTTGTCCATTGCCTCTAGATTTTTGTATTTGTTTGAGTATAGATTTTCCATGATATTTCACTCTTAACCCTTTCGTTTTAGTTAGTTCCATTGTGACATTGCCCCTTTCATCTCTTATTCAAATTATTTATGTATTTTTTTCTTTTCCTTTGTTTTGTTAGTGGTTTATCAATTTTATTCACCTTTTCAAAGAACCAACTCCTTGTTTGTTGATGTTTTCAATTTTACTTTTCATTTATTTCAGCCCCAATTTTTATAATTTAAGGTTTTTTTAAGATGGTGTCCAGTTTTCTTTCTGTTCTCTTTCAGTTTGTTGGATATATTGAGTTAGAATATCTAATATAATTTTTTCTTGCCTTTTCATGTGTTTGCTTATTGCTATAAATTCACCTCTAATTATTGCCTTGGCTTTTCCCCAACAGTTTTGGTAAGTTATGTTTTCATTCACATTTGTTTCAAGAAACTTCTTATTTCATTTTTATTTCATCTATTACCCACTCATGTTCAAGGAAGATGTTGTCTTGCTTCCAAATGAATGGGGTTCCCCCCCCCCTTTATCCTCTTGTTATTAATTTCTAATTTTGTAGCGTTGTGATCTGAGAAGATGCTTTGTAATATTTCTGTTTTTTAATTTATTGATACTTGCCTTTGACCTAAAATGTGATCTATTCTAGACAACTAATTTACCATTCATTTTGTAGAGTAAGGTATACTGCTTTTTTGGGAGTGCATTAGCTTGTATAGATTTATGAGGCCAAGTTGGTTTATTGTGTGGTTTAATTCTTCAGCATCTTTATTGAGTTTCTTTCTGGTAGTTCTATCTTTTCTTGAGAGTGGTGTATTGAAATCTCCAACTACTATAGTGGTGTTGTCTATTTCCTTTTTCAGTTTATATCTTACAGCTCTATAATTTGTTGCATAGATATTTATTATTGTTATGTCCTCTTGTTCAATTGACCCTTTGAGCATTATATGGTTTTTGCACTGAAATCTATTTTATCAATGATTAGTATTGCTACTCCTGCTTTTTTTTCTGGTGACCATTTGCTTGGTATATTTTTCTGCACCCTTTTATTTTTACTCTTTCTTTATCTTCAGTTTTCAGACGTGTCTCTTGTAGATAGCATATTGATGGGTTTTGGGTGTTTTTTGGGTCCAATCTGCTACTTTTTTTTTTCCTCTTTAATGGTGCAATTAAACCATTCACATTCAGTGATATTATTGAGAGGCAAGGTTTTATTGCTTTCATTGTGTTTAGTTATTTTTGGTGTTGTTGCTGGTTACTTGGTCCATTCTTTTTTTGGTGGCACCTCTATAAGTAGGATGTCTCTGTGTTTCCTGCAATACTGGTCTTGTTTTTACAAACTCCCTTAGGTTCTGCTTTTCTGAGAATATCTTGATCTCTCCTTCATATTTAATGAACAGTTTTGCTGGGTACAATATTCTTGGTTGACAGTTGTGTTCTTTGAGTGTTTGATATATATCATTCCACTATTTTCTTGCTCACATGGTTTCTGCTGAGAAATTGGCATTTAATCTTATTTGTTCTCCCTTAGAGGTTACTCTTTGTTTCTCCATAGCTGCTTTCAGAATTCTCTCCTCCTGGGTTCTGTCAAATTTGGCTGTGTGTTTGACTATGTCTGCCTTTGTGCTTCTCATTTGAGGTCAATTCTATATGGTGTTCACTCAACTCCTTGAATTTATATTCTCTCATTTTTCATTTTGCCTGGAAAGTTTTTTCTAGTAATTCTTCCACAACTTTCTTGATGCCTTTATTTAATTTTTCCTGTTCTGGAATTCTGATTATGGACATGCCATTCTCTTGATGGTGTCCCACATTATGCTTAGGCTTTCTTCTTCCTCCCTCCATGTTTTTGTTCTAGTAGATTAATGATGATAATTCTATCTTCTATTTCACTGGTATTTGTTCTATCTCTTCATTTCTGTCCATATGTCCATCCAACATTTTGACACATCTGAAACATTGGTCCTCTTATTTTGAATTGTGGTTTCTTGTTTTTCCAGAGCCTCATTTGTTTTGCCTGCATTGTTTTGGAATGTTTTTTATGTTCCTCTTGGGTTTTGCTAGTAGTGTCCTTCAAGTTTATCTTTCACCCGTTGAAAATATTCAATCATTGTTTCATGTCTGAAAGTTCCATTAGAATTTCTGGCTTCAGGAAATCCATTGATACTCTATTACTTTTGGGGGGGGTCACATCTTGTTTTGTGTTATGTAGGGTGTGCGGTAGCCTACTTCTTCTGTGACATTACTGTGGTAGAGTTTTCATGCTTGAGGCTCTTGGTCTGATGTCACTTCTCCAGAGAAGTGTGGGGCACTTACCCTGTGTGATTTTTCTCTCCGAATTTTTGAGTCAAGGGAAGACTTGCTTCAATTTGGGAGAGATATGAACTGTGAATTTGCAGTCTCCTCTGTCAGACAACTGCTGCAGCTAGGCCAATTCAAGGTGCCTTGTCTAAAGGCAGCTCATGCTTAGAGAGGGGAGAGGAAATGAAATGGGCTCACCTGTGATATATATGTCTCTGGCATCGTTTAGAGGGGGAGCAGCAGGTTGTCCTTCAGCTTTTGGGGCTGGGGTGTCCAGGTGGTGTGGCTACGTCCTCCAAATGGTGGGGCCAAATCCTCCAGGCAGTAAGACTGGGACTGTCAGCCTACCAGGCCAGGACTTTTATGCTGTGGGGCCTGGACTCTCAGGCAGTGGAGAAGGAGTGTTCTGATGGTTCGGCTGGGATTTCCAGGCAGAGGGCCTGTGCTGGGCTTACAAACAGCAGGCAGGAATGTCCAGGTAGTGGGTCAAGGTCCTTCAGGAGGCAGATTCAAGAATCCAAGTGGCAGGACCATAGGCCTCCAGATGAGGGGTGGAACCTGCCAGGCATCAGTGCCGTGGTCTAATGTTTCAGACAAGAGACCAGTCCAGGACACATTAAGGAATTATTAAGGCAATTATCTAGATAATTGACTAGATACATAGAGAGTGATGTGGCACATGGAAAGCGACCAGTTTTTCTTTTCTTGATGCTAAGATTTAATCCATATGAAGACTGCAGTCTTTGAACTGCTGTCATGAGCATTTCAAGTCCTCATTTTCAGCAAGCATGTTTGTATCATCTGTGTAATGCATCTGCATATCGGAGTCTCCTGCTGATTCTGATGCCACATTCTTTATTATAAAATCCAACATCTTGAATGATTTGTTCAGCATACAGATTGAACACACATGAAGAAAGGATTCAGCCCTAATCATATCTTTCTTGATTTTAAACCATGCAGTGTTCTCTTGCTCTGTTTGGACAACAGCCTCTTCCTCTCACCCACATCTCCCTCCCTTACTCCCTTACTCCATCCTCCCTTACTATCTCTTTAGATTGAGCTTGCCCATTTGTGTGTGTTAGCTGGATCCCAAAAGCATAAGATGGAGGTGGCAGACCTTCTTAAGGCTTGGCCTGGACACCAGGTAGAGCCTTACTTCGGCATTCTGTTACTCATGATTTAGTCCCAGGGTCAACTTGGGTATGCTACTGCCCAAGGGTATCTGTCCTGTAAGGTATCTTTGGAGACTAGCTATCTAACTGTTGGCCATTTCCTTACTGTCTCTGTCATTCTTTTCCCAACAAAATGCATTGCCTGTTATGTAGAATTAGCCTGGTGTTCTTCAACTTAAAATATTCTAAGATTAAACTAGCAAATCAGTGTTGCCAAAGATGGAATTCCACCATAAGGTAATGAAAACATGAAATCGTCTAAACCACTGAACTACTATAGTGAGTGTATACTAGAGTTTTCAAACTGGAGGTTTCATATTTCCATAAACTGTGAATTATAAATTTAAATGTTACACATTTTTAACTTCTAAATTATACTAAGGTTATATGACTAACTGTATAGAAGACCCTGAAATAATAACATTTTTCAAGATATTTCTTGTCACTCTTCTTTGGCAGTTCCTTTGAAAACAAATACGAAAGCTGAAACAATTACCATGCCTGATATTACTCAGAGTGATGACGGAGATAAAAGAAATGATTCAGAAGCTGGATTACTGAGCTCATCTCCAGTGAGGCCACATTCCAGCTCAGTGGAGTCACCATCAGAGAAAAGTGCCAGTAATGTGTCGGTCCCGGATGCCCCCATTATCTTGAGCCCTCCACAGACCCATACACCACACACCTACAACCTGGTCTGGAGATCCGGAAAGGATGGTGGGCTCCCTATCAATGCCTATTTTGTAAAATATCGAAAGGTATTGTCTTCTCATTTATTCTACTTTAAGTCTAATACTTCCTCACTATTTGAGTAATGCATGTTCCTTTTCACATTTGTCAAAGACTAGAAAATAGAGCAAGCATGTTCAGAATTTTGAGCTTATATAAAATAGTCAATCATGCTGAATTTCCTGACTTGGTAAAAACATTAGGAATGAAGTATAAATCATGTCTTCCCTAAAACTAAGAACCTAGTAACTTCTTGACACTGTTGTTGTTGTTGTTGTTATGTGCCGTCGAGTCCAAGTGACTCATAGCGACCCTATGTACAACAGCCCTAAACTCTGCTCTGTCCTGTGCCAATCGCACTGTATCTGACACTCCCATCCCGATTATCCCAGTGACTGAATCAACCCACCTCATAGAGGGCCTTCCCCTCCTGCGCTGTCCCTCCACCCTCCCAAGCATGATGTCCTTCACCAAGGACCGGTCTCTCCTCACAACATGTCCAGAGTATGTTAGACGGAGCCTCAGAATCCTTGCCTCCAAGGAACAACCTGGTTTAACCCTTTCCAGGACGAATCTGTTTTCCTAGCAGTCCATGGTACTCTCAATACTCATCTCCAGCACCACAGCTCAAAGGCATCAATTCTCCTTCTGTCCTCCTTGGTCATTGTCCAATTCTCTGATGCATAACAAGTGATTGCGAAGACCATCACCTGTATCAGACGCACCTCAGTCTCCAGAGAGATACCATTGCTCTTCAGTACTTTGGAGAGGTCCCTAACAGCAGACTTTCCCATGGCAATGCGCCTTTTAATTTGCTGACCACCGGTGTCAAGAGTATTGACTGTGGAGCCAAGCAAACTAAAGCTGTATACAATCTCAATCTCTTCACCATCCATCCTGA